TCTATGATCGAAACTCTGTATCAACTCCAGCTCTGAGATCCCGGGCTCACTGAAAGCAGGTTTCTGGGGTTTTTTTTTAGCTTCTATATTTGTTACAATGTTTCAAACTTCAGGCTGTGGGGAACATTTGTTTCCTCCGTCACTGAAGCAAGCAAGCCTCATGTTCAGTTTAAGCTGCCTGGCTGCCGGCCATCATCTTGGCTGGCAGTTAATTTGCATATCTCCCTGATTAGCCAATGGGAAGGGTAGCGGTCGTATGCCAATTACCATGTTTCTCTTTTATTAGATAGGATAATAATGCATTAGAATAATAAAGTTTGAGGGTAAAAATTCTTTGAATTTACCCAGCTCATTTCCTTGGAAGCTGAGGGAGTACATTTGTACATCTTTTTATTTGACATTAATTTTGGTTGAGGTCATCAATATTTCTCAGAATGAGAGAAATCCAAATAAGTGTAAATACTAATATTTACTCAGTAAGAACTTAATCTTGAGAGGTGTACCATTTATAATTAAAATAGTCAAGAGTTAGACTAATTGTGAATTTTCTTTAGGGTCAGAAACAAAAATCCTATCTAATAATAGAGAAACATGGTAATTAACTGTAATTTCACTACCCTTCCCATTGGCTAATCAGCAAGATATGCAAATTAATCACCAGCCAAGATGGCGGCTAATTTGCATACTGCAGGCAGGGCGGGACAGTGCCATCCCGCCTGCCCCACTGCCATCCCGGCCTGCTATTAGCGACCCAGGTGGCACACGCCCATATTATCTAATAATAGAGAAACATGGTAATTAACTGTAATTTCACTACCCTTCCCATTGGCTAATCAGCAAGATATGCAAATTAATCACCAGCCAAGATGGCGGCTAATTTGCATACTGCAGGCAGGGCGGGACAGTGCCATCCCGCCTGCCCCACTGCCATCCGGGCCTGCTATTAGCGACCCAGGTGGCACGCGCCCATATGGGAACAGACCCAGGGCTGGCAGCGGGACCCCAGCAATAGGCCACCTGCCACCCCCCCAAAATGCACACCCGGGCAGCCTTTGCCCTGCATCACCTATGCAGCCGGGAGAGGAGCGTGGGGCCGCTGAGAGCAGGGCGGGAACTTCCCGGGGTTTGCGTCAGGCAGCTCAGAGCAGAGTGCAAACTATCCCCGCTGGCAGCTGCTTGCTCATTCACTTACTCACTCATTCACTCACTCATTATTCACTCAGCAAACCCTCTCAGGTCCATGGCACCAGGCCAGGCACTGAAGGTGAAGCAGGATAAGACAGAGCTATGTCCTCAAGATGTCAGTAATTCAGTAGGGTGAAGCAGGCACATGAAGAGGCAGTTGTATGCACAGATGCAGTGTACTGGGTTCGGTGAGGGCTGTAACTAATGCTGACATTGTTCTCTTGATAAAATGGGACCTCGGGAGCCAGGCTGCCCAAGCCTGTAGGCCTGTGCCTAGGCCAGGAGTGGCCGGGGTCCCGGAACATGACAGAGGGTGCAGGTCGGGCTGAGGAGTCTTGGCCCCACTCCTCACCCTCACCCCTGAGTGCACAAATTTTTGTGCACCGGGCTACTAGTATAAATATAAAATGGAAATTGTACTTATCATGTCTTAAAACAAATATACTAGAAAAAATTTCATAAATGTGTGTCCCAGTGCTCCTCGTCCTCATGTTTGTTAGGTCACCGAAGGAGGAACGCACGAGGCCAGAATGATGAAGGATTATGAATTTATTCCATCATCCGCCCACCTGGTGGCTGAGCCTGGGTGGCTCCAGCCCCGGTGATGGGAGTCAGCGGCTTTTAAAGGACTTTTGTCAGACTTTTTTTCTGGGCGGAGACTTCTTTATGCATACCATGAGGGGAGATAATGGAATGTGGTCACTACAAGTGAAATGTGGTCTCAGCAAAGGGAATGTCCATAGTGAAATGACGTGAAAAGCCAGTTCCTGGGGAGGGGTATTGATTCAATTGCTCAATCAAACTCAACAATGTTTAATGTACAGAGTAATATAATTCACAAACTTATAGAATTTCTTATAGAATTTTTCAAATTCATGGAAAAAGCACTAGCATACTTAGCTTCTATTGAAGTATTGAAAAAATAATTTAAGTGAGAAGGGGCATCAGGTTATATTAAAATTAAATTATTGCTTCAATATTTTTCCTTTGAACATCAGTGGTAAAAAAAAAAAGAAAAGAAAGAAAATGGGCCTAGCCTGTGTGTCTCAATGGTTGAACATTGACCTATGAACTAGGAGTTCATGGTTAGATTCAGGGCACATGCCCTAGTTGCAGGCTCCATCCCAGTTGGGGGTGTAGAGGAGGCAGCCAATCGATCATTCTCTCTCATCATTGATGTTTCTATCTCTCTCCCTCTCCCTTTATCTCTGAAATCAATAAAAAAAATTTTTTTAAAGGAAAATGGTACGACAGTAACTGTTTTGAACAAGAAAACAGGAAAAGTGATGTGAGGCTCTTACAAATCCAAGGTGGTATATTAGAAAGCGTAGTGGAATCACAGTGGGAGTAAGGAAATGGGTTCTAACTCACTCTCTGCTATTAAGTAGCATCTTTTCATTAGTTAATTCTGAACATTAAATGTTTCCCCAAGTGAATTTGAACGTGATAGTCCATGAAGATAAGCAAAGGGGATTATTTCTTTCTGGGGTTCAATCAGGTCATCATTAAGGCATATTATTAGATTGATTATTTCAGTGTGGTTCTACTCTATTAGGAGATCCCCAAGAAGATTTTGGCACCTTTTCCCTCTGCCAATGCCCCCCATCTTTAATACCTTGTAGGAGTCCTGGAGACTCTGGCCTTCTTCTGATTTTAATCTGCACTAGTTCAGGCCTGCAAACTTGGTCCATCCAGGGGCTGGCTGGCAGATGCCCAAGGCAAAGAGCATAAAAGATCCAGGTCCCCAGGAGAACTTCAGAAACCTGGCATGTCTCAGGGAGGAAATGCACAGCATAGCTTTTAACCCAGTCATCAGGAATTGCCTGCTCTTCCCCGCCCCAGCCCCCTCAAAGGCTGAAGTGACAAAACCTGTGACCTTTGGACAAAGGCATATACCTCACACAGGACAGGGCACGGTGTGAGTTGGGCAAACAGTTTTTCAGTCTGCAAGGGGAAGAGAGGCTGTAGATAGCAAGTTAAAAAGGCAGGGGGATTTTCCACGTGTCTTGGAAGGAAAGGGGAGAGAGACTTGTCTCTGGGGATGAGAGGAACTGAAAGGTGTCGCTCCCCCGCTGCAGCGAGCTTAGAGGAAGGTGTGTCCCTCTCCGTGTGGCCGCGCTGGGGAAGGGCTCCGGAGTTGTAAGGAAATGAGAGGTGTGTCTGGTGTTTATTTTTGCCTAGCAACCCACAGCCAACTGCTTACCCAGCAGCCGTCCACACGCGCCTGCCTTCCTGCCGCCCCCTGTCCTATCGACTGGAGAGCGGTCACCTGGCGTCAGTAAATCGGGAGGGTGTGTGTGGTGGAGGTGAAGGTGGGAGAACAGCTCCCTCCTTCGCCCACGCTCGGGGGGGTCACCAGGCTATATACTGCGGCCCTCCACCGGGCTTGACTTACAGAGGTGACCCTTGCACAACGAAGTTATTTTACAAGATAAATTGGGGAGGGAGGGTGGTTCAGCCACGGAAGGGGGACAGTATTGTTTGCGAGCAGCCATTAGGTTCGAAAGCTGAAAACGCGTTTGGATTTGGGGGCGCGCAGGGAAGGGGAGGGGTCTCTGCAGCGATTTTGGTGGGAGGCGAGCAGCGGTGGGTAGTGCTGGAGGGAGGGGGGCTGC